GAACCGTGTTATAGGGTGGTCGACTGTATTCTAGAGCTTTTTCTGTACCTCGTGCATCTCTCTCATTCATTAAATTTAGTTGTAAATGATGCTGTCAAAGTAACGGTTAATTTTTTAACATTATACAAGAATAGTACACGTTTTCTTCTACATCCCCTTAAAGATGGGACATACGAAATCGTAATATCACTGGTAACATTGAAATCCGTGAGTAATATAAAATCGGAGAGCGGAATAAAAATATCAAATATTTTAATGGATTTTTTTAAACTCCTGTCAACTATACAGAACTATCATAAAAACATACAGTAAATTATTATCGGTTGGGTTAAGTTATAAATCTACTCGTAATTCACATAATCGGCCGAGGGCGGTCAAATATCTAGCGGGCAGGCGGCTAACAGCCCAGAACCGGTCCTGGATAGAATTGGAAGCGTTATATGTGTGTAGCTTCCACCCAAGGTCCTAGGCTTCTACCAGCTAAACTGGGTGAGGTTGGTGCTCAGTAAAGAGTTGTTTCTGGCTGTTTGGGAGCTGAAAATATAGCGCTTCCACTCCACTACTGATATTCGAATATACAATAGCAATCTTATCTTTTTTTCACGTGCAGTATAGAAATTTGTAATAAGATACATAATGTGGTTATAATAAAATATTGTGCGAATATTTTCATATAATTAAAATTAATATGTACTGTATTTACTTTTTAGAAGATACAAGGGAAGCGGCGCTTCCACCGCTTCTAATGACGGCACGCCACTTGGTCTCGGCTATTACATTATTATGGGAATGGGGATGGAAAATTAAGTTTTTGGTTATTTTATGTAAAAATATTGCGAAAAACATTCGTAATTATTTTTATGAAATATGATGCAGCTTTACCCATTAAATAAATCTGCGAAAATTATTTGAAATTACAGTCGACCCCCCTATAACACTGTTGATAATTCCATGTTGTATGAGTCACTTAGATTTTACAAATATGTGTGCCGGGCTGTGACAGGCTTACGTATTTGTAAAATCTAAGTGTCTCGTACAACATGGAATTCATATAAAACAGAAAAATCAACAATGTTATAGGGGGTTGACTGTATTCTCTCGAATTGCAGCATGTATATGGTTATTTCCAATGTTTTCTTCTTACTTAATCTTTTTTGACCAATGATAAAATGATCAGATCTTGAAATGTAAAAGTGAGACATTAGGCCGGGCTTTTCGACACGAAGTCATAAGAATCAGTCGACGATCATAGGTTTCCTAGCTTTCGGACATCATCGATGACATGTACGAACAACCGCTGACCATTTTTGCTTATCTTTCCTCTCTTTATAAAATAATGATTTACTACGATAACTACAAAGAACAGTTAATTATGACTCAGAATGATGCTTTGTTTGTTTTAACCGTAATTTTTTAAACTCAGATAATTAGCAAAAACTATTATTAATATATATAACCCATTCATTTCGTGTCCGTCCCGTAACCGTTTCATAACGGACACTAGAGGCTATGGGATACTATGACACTATCGTGTGTCATATTTCAAACATTCAAATTAACAATTTTAATTATTATTTAAATTAACAATATAAATTATTATTATTCATTTGGCTCATAATTATTTGGTCAATATAACAATATAAATAATTCAGTATATTTGTAATAGGAATTTATTATTTCAGGGGCTTATATCTAGCGAAGGGTCGCGAGTAGGGGTATGGTTCCTTTGACTTTGTTCGCACAGGGGCTACAGTTTGGGGGGTCGCCACCTCATCATTCGGAGGGTAAATCTTACCATTGGGACTTTAATAGAGCTGTACAGCATATTGATAGGAACAAAAAAGTCAAAGGAACCGTGCCTCATGGAAATTTGTAAAGAACGCCCACTAGGGGGCGTCCCGGGCTACTAGTAACTGATATAATTGGTAAATTTGTTTTGGTTATTGTATTTAAAAATAATTCTGAAGAAGAGATAATTAAAGCTTAAAAAAAGGTATGATATGGAGTTCATCAATATTGATGAAGCAATTATCATACCTTTTTATTTATTGATGAATCTCTTAAAAAATTCATACAAGAGAACAACCTGAAGCATGCTTTTCAAAAAAGTCAAAAATGTTTGTAAAACATACAACTATCTGCTGGAAAAATAAGCAAGACATGTTTATTGGTATAGCTATATTTTTCTAGTTTAGATAACTCAGTTTTGTATTAGAAAAGTTTTATAGTATAAAAATATCTTATTTTTTAGTAAATAAATTGTTAAGATCAAATGTGAAAATATTAGAGAGGTTGAGGCGCACGTTTTAAACGTGTAAACGTGTACGTGTGACGTTCGGCGCCGCTTTCCCGTAAGCCTAAAAGTTTGACAATGGTGTTTGGATAGTCGGTGGAATCAC